ACGCACGCACGCACGCACGCACGCACACACGCACACACACGAACGCACGCACGCACGTACATATACTCGTACATGGATGAGAGAGCGGTCGTGCGTGCTCGATCTTTCTAACACGTAAACACAAGGAAACTTCCACTAATTATCCCAGCGTGACGAGAGAACAGGTTGACGGTATAGCGAGGCACATGCGCAGCCTCCTAATGCTTCCAATTAACACATCCTAGTATTGCCGCATCTCTTACTCGCAAGTCGGCAACGTTGATCATATGAGTCCGCCAGGGGGCGTGTGTTGTCGCCTAACCCGCAGCCCTGCCCATGCGTTTCGTCACAGGCTTGTACGTAGCTGGTCGCGTCGGCACGAGTGCCCGTATGTCGCACCGAACGCTAGAATCGGGAGTTTTGCTAATAACGCAGGTGCTTACGGGCGCACTACTACTCAACTACAACTCGTACGGCTCAGCCTACCGTAGGTCGCTAAAGGTTCGCTCTCTTTTCGCTTTATTGCAGCAATGCTCCGAACACAGCGTTTCCAACAAGAAGTTTCGCACTTTTGCGCGGACGCTGCCGCCTGGATCCACTGTCGCCAACTCCGTGTTCGCATTTCTCAATCAGTGGAATTGGAGGAAGATTCGAATTATCAGCTCTCCTAGGTATGCTCAACACTCGGAGCCGTGTGCATTCATGTGCACGTCACGTGGTACCGCATGTTTATTTCACTGGAGATTTAAGAAGCTGACGCTGCAGTTCGTTGCTTAAATTATTTAAAGTAGATACTTAGTTGGTTGGTCAGTCAGCCAGTCAGTCGGCGTGTATTGAAGCAGCTAATGTTCAAACCCAACACTATATATTCTATAAAAAATAACATCGATAGCCACAAAATACCAATCAGTAACAGATTTAATTAGCTGTGGATTTTCGTTATGAGTGTTTAACACCTAGCTCGCGCATGGTAAAAGAACTAGTTGTGGTGCATTGCATCGCATTCCCCCCATCAGTAATATAAACTTTGACACGAAGGTTAAATAGCTCAGCGTACGCACTATTCAATCGAGAAGTCGTCACGGTAGAATCTTGTCGTCCCACTGGGGTTATATTTGATGCAACTGCAGATATTTTATAGCCCCACTCACACGTACGCACGCACACAAGCAATGGTGACATTTCATCCAAAAAAAATGTCACATTTGTGAACGGTTGCAACACCTTCTAAACGCACTAACACATAAAAAATTATCTGTTGACCTTGTCATTTATTTTGTTGCTTGGTCGGCAGGTTTTCAAAGACGGTGGAGACGATGCAGTTGTTATCTAAGCAGCACGATGTGACTATTCTGGGAGAGGAGACGATTAACGACATCCATTCTACCAGGGATGATGTGCTCATCAAGGAAATAGTCAGCAGAACTGCGTTTCAAACAAGAGGTGTGCATCTTTCAAGTTATAGACAATGTGCCTCGTCATGCAATAACTACTATTCTCTCCAACTGTTGCTACCTCCCACCCAACTGTTGCTACCTCCCATTCAACTGTTGCTACCTCCCATCCAACTGTTGCTACCTTCCACCCAACTGTTGCTACCTCCCATCCAACTGTTGCTACATCCCATCCAACTGTTGCTACATCCCATCCAACTGTTGCTACCTCCCATCCAAC